TGGAGCTATATTGTCCCAATATGGAGCTGTATGTCCCAGTATGGAGCTAGATGATCATAGTATGGGGCTGTATCATTCCAGTATGGAGCTGTATGTCCCAGTATGGAGCTCTATGGTGCTGGTATGGCACTGTACAGCCCCGAGCATCCTACCCCTGTCTCTGTCTCCATCTCTGTCCCCCCATCCCCAGCCTGCCCCCCCGGCACCTTCGGGCTCCAGTGTGCTCAGCTCTGCCGCTGTCCCCACAACGCCACGTGCCACCCGGCCAGTGGGACGTGTCCCTGCGCCCCGGGCAGGACCGGGCCCCACTGCGGTGATGGTGAGTGGGTGCAGCACTGGGGCCCCCCCCAGGGCCCCTGTGCCACCCTATGGACACCCTGTGTCGTGTCCCCTCCCCATAGAGACCCCCGAGCAGCCCTACACCATCGTGCCAGCCCCCCCAGCAGCCTACAGCTCGCTGGGGGTGGTGCTCAGCCTGGTGGCCCTGGTGGCACTGCTGGTGGCCATGGTGGCAGCGGGGCTGTGGTGCCGGCACCGGCGGAAGGGGAAGGGGAGCCGGCACCTTGCTGTGGCCTATACAGCAGGACAGACGGACACGTCGGACTACATGGTGCCAGGTGATGGTGGTGGCGGTGGGGACCGCACCGTGGTGGCAATGGGGACCGCACCGTGGTGGCAATAGGGACCGCACCGTGGTGGCAATGGGGACACCACCGTGGTGGCAATGGGGACCGCACCGTGGTGGCAATGGGGACCGCACAGTAGTGGCAATGGGGACCCCACCGTGGTGGCAATGGGGACCGCACCGTGGTGGCAATGGGGACCGCACCATGGTGGCAATGGGGACCGCGCTGTGGTGGCAATGGGGACCCCACCCTGGTGTCAATGGGGACCCCACTGTGGTGGCAATGGGGACCCCACCGTGGTGGCAATGGGGACCGCACCGTGGTGGCAATGGGGACCGCACTGTGGTGGCAATGGGGACCCCACCCTGGTGTCAATGGGGACCCCACCGTGGTGGCAATGGGGACCCCACCGTGGTGGCAATTGGGACCCCACCGTGGTGGCAATGGGGACCCCACCATGGTGACCACACTGATGCCTGCCCCCCAGATGTGCCCCCGAGCCACCACGCGCACTACTACTGCAACCCCAGCTACCACACACTGTCCCAGTGCCCGATGCCAGCTCCTGGTGCCCCGGACACAGCCAGCATCAAGGTACGGTACCACTGCACCAATGCACCAGGGTGCTGGATGTGCACCGTGATGGTGTAGCACAGTGCTGCATGGTGAACCGTGGTTTTGCACATGCACTGGTGCTGTACAGTGCACCGGGGTGCATGGTGCACTGTGGTGGTATTGTATGGTGCACCATGGTGCAGCACCCTGGTGTGCGGTGAACCACGGGGTTGCATGGTGCTCTATGGTGACATTGCACAGTGCACGGGGGTGCTGGAGGGTGCATCGTGATGTACAGGGCCCCCATGCCCCCCCATGGCACCCCATCCCACCCCATTCCCATCCCATCCCATTCCACCCCACCCCATTCTCATCCTATCCCATCCCATCCCACCCCATCCAAACCCACCCCATTCCATTCCATCCCATCCCACCCCACCACATCCCATCCACATCCCGTCCCATCCCCATCACATCCCACCACATCCCATCCCCATCCCATCCCCATCCCATCCCGTCCCACTTCATTCCCATTCCATCTCATCCCATCCCATTCCCATCCCACTCCATCCCCATCCCATCCCACCCCATCTAAAACCACCCCATCCCATCTCATCCCACCCCACCACACCCCATCCACATCCCATCCCATCCCCATCACATCCCACCACATCCCATCCTATCCCATCCCATTCCATCCCCATCAAATCCCACCCCATTCCCACCCCACCCGGTCCCTCCCCGCCGCAGGTCCCCGGCTCTCAGCTCCCGGACGCAGGCGGCAGCACCACGCTTCCCCCCGGCTGGAAGCCCCGCGGCGCCCCGGGCAGCAGCGGTAAGGGGGGGGGGGGGGGGGGGCAGCGGGAGCTCTCCCGGCTCATACCCACCGGGAAGGGGCCGGGCTGGAGCAGGGGGGGGACCCCAAACCTGCCCCTTTGCAGGGGAGCCCCTGGACCGGAGCTACAGCTGCAGCTGCAGCCTGGGGAAGTGTGAAGGTAAAGGAGAGGGATGGGAGAGGGTATCGGGATGGGGTGGGGTGGGATGGAATGGGATAGGCTGGGATGGGATGAAATGGGATGGGATGGGGAGGGATGGCATGGGATAGGCTGGGATGGGATGGGCAGGAGTGGGGTGGGATGGAGTGGCTGGGTTGGGATGGGATGGGATTTGGGTGGGATGGAATGGGATGGGATGGGGTGGGATGGGGTGGGATGAGATGTGGTGGGGTGGGATGGTGGGTGAATGGGGTAGGATGGGATGGGATGGGGATGGGATGGGGGATGCGGTGGGGTGGGGTTGAGATGGGGTGGGGTGGGATGGGGTGGAATGGAATGGCATGGGATGAGATGGGGTGGGGTGGGATGGGAATGGGATGGAATGGCACGCCATGGGATGGGATGGAATGGGATGGAATGGCACACAATGGGATGGGATGGAACACGATGGGGTGGGATAGGATGAGGTGGGGTTGGGATGGGATGGGGTGGGATGGGATGGGAAAGGGTGTCTGCGGTGGGATGAGAAAGGGTGACTAGGATGGGGTGGGATTGGGTGGGATGGGATGGGATGGGATGGGATGGGATGGGATGGGATGGGGTGGGATGGGATGGGATGGGAAAGGGTGCCTGGGATGGGATGGGATGGAGAGGGATGAGGTGGGAAAAGGATGGGGAAGAGGTTAGGAGGGGGTGGGAATGGGATTGGGCTGGGGCTGGGACTCTCCTGACGCAGCTGCTCCCTGTCCCCCCCCATGTGGACCCCCCCAACTCCGCCCGCTCAGAGCCCCCCCCGGAGGGTCTGGGCGGCAGCGGCAGCTCCGTGGGCAGCGAGAGCCCCTACGCCACCATCCGGGAGCCCCCCCTGGCGCCCGAGGGCAGCTACATGGAGATGAGGGCCCCGGTGCGCAGGGAGATGTCCTACGCCGAGATCCGGCCCCTCGAGGAGCCGCCCCACGGTGGGACACGGGCACGGGGCCGGGACATGGGCACTGGGGTGCATGGACACTGGGGTACATGGACACTGGGGTACATGGACACTGGGGTGCATGGACACTGGGGTACATGGACACTGGGGTACATGGACACTGGGGTGCATGGATACTGGGGTGCATGGACACTGGGGTACATGGATACTGGGGTGCATGGATACTGGGGGTGCATGGACACTGGGGTGCATGGATACTGGGGTGCATGGACACTGGGGTACATGGATACTGGGGTGCATGGATACTGGGGGTGCATGGACACTGGGGTACATGGATACTGGGGTACATGGACACTGGGGTACATGGATACTGGGGTGCATGGATACTGGGGGTGCATGGACACTGGGGTACATGGATACTGGGGTACATGGATACTGGGGTACATGGACACTGGGGGTGCATGGACACTGGGGTACATGGATACTGGGGTTCATGGATACTGGGGGTGCATGGACACTGGGGTACATGGATACTGGGGTACATCATACTGGGGTACATGGACACTGGGGTACATGGATACTGGGGTACATGGACACTGGGGGTGCATGGACACTGGGGTACATGGATACTGGGGGTGCATGGACACTGGGGTACATGGACACTGGGGAACATGGACACTGGGGTGCATGGATACTGGGGTACATGGACACTGGGGTGCATGGACACTGGGGTACATGGATACTGGGGTGCATGAACACTGGGGTACATGGATACTGGGGTACGTGGAGACTGCGGTACATGGATACTGGGGTACATGGATACTGGGGTGCACGGATACTGGGGTACATGGATACTGGGGGTAAATGGATACTGCGGTACATGGATACTGGGGGACATGGATACTGCGGTACATGGATACTGGGGTACATGGATACTGGGGTGCATGGGTACTGGGGTACATGGACACTGGGGTACATGGATACTGGGGTACATGGACACTGGGGGTACATGGACACTGCGGTACATGGACACTGGGGTACATGGATACTGGGGTGCATGGTTACTGGGGTACATGGATACTGGGGTGCATGGACACTGGGGTACATGGACACTGAAGGTACATGGACACTGGGGTACATGGAGACTGGGGTACATGGATACTGCAGGGGGACACGGACACTGGGGTATGTGGATAGTGGGGTACATGGATACTGCGGTACATGGATATTGGGGGGACACAGACATTGGGGTACATGGGTACTGGGGGGGACACACAGACACTGGGGGACACGAGGCACCAAGGAGGGGACACAAACCCACTTGTGACCTGCTCTTGTCCCCGCAGAGACCTGCCCGGAGGGGGGGGACCTTGTGCCCCCCGCACCCCCTCCCAGCCATTACGACTCCCCCAAGAACAGCCACATCCCCATTCACTACGATGTGCCCCCCACCCGCCACCCGCCGTCACCACCCGCACCGCGAGGACCCGGGGGGCGCCGGGGGGGCACCGGGGACACGAGGCTGACCCGGACCCCCAGCCCCGGGGGTGCCAGTGCTGAATAAAGGGGTGTCGGTGCGAGCTGGGGCTGGCTGTGCAATGGGGGGGGCTGTGCTGGGGCACCCACGGGTGGGACAAGGAGGGGTCCAGGCCAGTAACGGACCAGTAAGGGCCCGGGAGGGGGTCTAATGATGATCCCAGTAACGAGACCAGGAAAGGCTCAGTAATGGGATAACGAAAGGAACAGTAAGGGCCCAGTGGTGGCCCAATGACGACCCCAGTAAACACCCAGTAATGGGACCAGTAATGGGGTAAGAAACGGACCAGTAATGTGGTAAGAAACGGACCAGTAATGGGGTAAGAAACGCACCAGTAAGGGCCCAGTCATGGTCCAGTGATGGCCCCAGCGAAGACCCAGCAATGGGACAGGAAATGGACCAGAGAGGGCCGCAGGAACGGGGCAGGACTGGGGCAGGACGCGCTCAGCCACGGGGGCTCCAGCGCCTGCCTGGGCACGGGGGAGGCCCCGCCCCTTCGACCAGGCCCCGCCCCCTTCCCGCACGCCCCCGCCCTTTCCAGACAGACCACGCCTCATTTCCGTTTAGGCCCCGCCCACACAGAGCCGGCCCCAGCCCCGCGCAGGCGCGGCCCCGCCCCTCGCGTCCTCTGCGTTGCCAAGGAGCGAGGGCACTGCCGGCCCCGGGCTCCCGCCGCGACCCCCATAGGGAGCCCCGCACCCCACAGGGACCCCTCCGCACCTCATAGGGAACCCCCGCACATAGGAGACCCCCATAGGGCCCCCCCCGTACCCCTATGCGGCCTCTTCCGCCCCAGAAACGCCCCCCTCCCCGCAGCCCCACAGGCACCACGCCTGGTACAACCGCCCTCACCCCCTAAGGAGACCCCCATAGGGACCCACTCCCAGCCCTGGGACCCTCCATCACCCCCTAGAGACCCCATAGGGACCCGCACCCACTGGGACTCCCCTTTGCCCCTTCCGTGGACCCACATCGAGACCCCCCCCAGCATCCCTGAGACACCCCCTCCCATCCACACAGGGACCACCACAGGGCCCTGAGACCCTCCCTCACCCCCATAAGGACCTGGGACCCCCTCACCCCAATAGGAACCCCCCCAGAGACACCCCCGAGCACCCCTTATCCCTGGGACACCCCCTCCCATCCCACAGGACTCCCCCCACCCCGCGACCCTCACCCGCATTCGGGCCCGCACCGGGACCCCCCAGCCGGGGAACGGGGGTATCCGGTGGGTGCTGGGGGGAGCCCCCCCCGGTGCCCCCCATCCGTGGGTCATGCGGCGCCGCAACGATCGTGCCCCCAGGGAGAAGGCGCTGGTGGCCCCGGAGGAGGAGGCGAAGAGCGCGGGGAGGAAGGGGGAGCAGGGCCCAGGTGAGCCCCGCAGCGGCTTGGGGGGGGGTGATGCGAGGGACCCCCTGATGCTCCCCCTCCCTCCTTGCCCTGCCCCAGAGGGGTTCCAGTGCTGCGGGGTCCTGGAGCGGGACTTCCCCGAGCTCTGCGCCCGCGCCGGCATCACCCATGCCCCGCGGGTCACGGTGCGGCCGGCCCCGAGCTTCCCTGCGGACGGTGAGCGGGATCGGGGGGGTTAAAGGGGAAGGGGGGGGGGGTCTGTGCTGGCAGCACCCCCAGAGCCCGTCCCTGTCCCCGTCCCTGTCCCGCAGAGGAGCCCCCCGCGGGGACGCTGGAGGAGGCGCTGGCCCGCATCGAGCGCAAGTACCGGAGCTTCCAGCCCCGCATCCAGGTGGAGCGGGAGCAGGGGGATCCCCGCAGCGTCCGCGCCGTGTTCCTGCGAGGTGGGTCCTGGTGCACGAGGAGAGCCTGGGGGCACCCCTGGGGTCCTGCTGGGAATGGGGGGCGGGCCACATCCCCCCCCCCCCCGCACCCCCCCATGGTCCTGTATCCCCGTGTCCCGCAGGCTGGAAGCTCGAGGAGGAGATGCTGGGGGTCCTGAGCCAGTGTCTGACTGCGCTGGGGGCGCTGCAGGAATTGCAGTGAGTGCGGGGTGCAGGCAGCGGGACCCCCATTTCCCCCCATGGCATCGGGACCCCCATGTTCCTTCCCCCCATGGCATCGGGACCCCCATGTCCCCCCCTCCCATGGCATCGGGACCCCCCATGCCCGTCCCCCCCTCGGCATCGGGACCCCCATGTCACCCCCATGGCAACGGGATCCCCATGCCTCCCCCCCTGGCATCAGCATCCCCATGTACCCCCCTCATGGCATCGAGACCCCCATGTCCCTCCCCATGGCATCGGGACCCCCATGTCCCCCCATGGCATCGAGACCCCCATGTCCCTCCCCCCATGCATCGGGACCCCCATGTCCCCCCTCCCATGGCATCGGGACCCCCATGTCCCCTATGGCATCGGGACCCCCATGTCCCCCCCCTGGCATTGAGACCCCCATGTCCCTCCCCAACCCATCGGTACCCCCATGCCTCCCCCATGGCATCTGTACCCCCATGCCTCCCCCATGGCATCTGTACCCACATGACCCCCACATGGCATCGGTACCCCCATTCCCCCCTATGGCATCGAGACCCCCATGCCCCCCCCATGGCATCGGTACCCCCATGCCCCCCCCATGGCATCGAGACCCCCATGTCCCCCGCATGGCATCGGAACCCCCATGCCCTCCCCATGGCATCGAGACCCCCATGTCCCCCCCATGGCAGCGGGACCCTGATGGCTCTGTCTCCCCCCGCAGCCTCTGGAACGTGCCGCTGCCGGAGCTGCTGCTGCCGGTGCTGACGGCGCTGCCAACGCGCTGCTCCCGCCTGCGGTACGCGCCCATTAACGCTCCCTCATTAACGCTCCCTCATTAACGCTCCCTCATTAACGCTCCCTCATTAACGCTCCCTCATTAACGCTCCCTCATTAGCATTCCCTCATTAGCGCTCCCTCATTAGCGCTCATTAAGGCCCGGGGGGGGCCAGGGAGGATCCTGAGCGCTGGAATGGGGCTCTCCGCAGGACGCTCAGCCTGGAGGGGAATCCTTTGCCTGAAGCCGCTTTCCAGCTGTTGATGGGCAGCGACAGCCTGTGAGTGCGAGCTGGGCCCAGCCCCAACATCTGTACGGGCCAGGAAGGATGGGGCCATATGGTCCTGGTGTGGAGCTATATGGGTGCAGGCAGTATGGGGCTATATGGTCTGCTGTGGAGCTATATGGGCCCAGGAGTATAGGACTATATGGTCCCGGTGTGGAGCTATATGGGTCCAGGCAGTATAGGACTATATGGTCCTGGTGTGGAGCTATATGGGTCCAGGCAGTATAGGACTATATGGTCCTGGTGTGGAGCTATATGGGTCCAGGCAGTATAGGACTATATGGTCCTGGTGTGGAGCTATATGGGTCCAGGCAGTATAGGACTATATGGTCTGCTGTGGAGCTATATGGGCCCAGGAGTATAGGACTATATGGTCCTGGTGTGGAGCTGTATGGGTGCAGCAGTATGAGGCTATATGGTCCTGGTGTGGAGATGTATGAAATTTAGTTACGTTGACATTGCAAATTGAATGAAGCATCTAGTAAATATAAAAGGTTGTTGTATCACTCAGAAATGCAATATAGGCTACAGATCTTTAAAGTGAAAATTGAACCTCCCTTTTATTAATGACAGTCTTTGCTCCATTTTAACTGTCACTTAATAATAACAGAAATAAAATCCAAAAGAATTTTTACATTGAACAAAAACTCTCCTCCCTTTAACCCCTTATCTTTCAAGAAAGGAGCACTTTAGAACCACTGTAAATAAAAATAAATAAATAAATAAATAAATAAACCCACAACCCACAAGCCTGTAAGATTTACCAAGACTGTAACAAGCCAGGAAAAGGAGGGCATTTGAAGCTCATTCCACCACACTACCACCACTAGTGGTATCACTATTGCAGCAATCAAAGATTCTAAACTATTGCTGTTTTTCCCACAGTTGGAACATCACAGTCATCAAGATCCATACAGCTCTGAGCAACAAATTTGGGGATCTTCAACATGAACCACTGAAGCAGGTTCAATGAAAATAGTACAGAAACACACAATTATGTGTAGTGAGAGGAGAAAAGAGAAGGCACTATCCCCCACACAGATTTCTCTTGTGTAACAGTTGACAAAAACATGGAACAGAAGCCTTCACAGAGCCAAAACAGGCTGACATGAACTCTGTATCACAGCTGTAACGTGCTAACCAGGATCATCAGTGCTTTTTTATTTCACTCTATCAAGTGTCACAGCACATAGCTTCTGAAATCCGCAGTTGTGATGCAACAGGCTTGTAGGAGATTGATAGTTCTGACCAACACCACAAAGAACCTATGCTGATACTAGTTAAACACAGCCTGTATTTAGAAGATGCACAGCTGCACCAGAAACCACCGATCATGGTGCTCACTGCAATTTCAAGTCAGTCACAGTGTCCAAAACCAGAGAAATACTATCACCTTCAGTGACAGAAATCATCATCATAAAGACATTACATTCCAGTATCTGGAAAAAATATCAACTTCAATTTCCTGCAATTCTCCTGATAAAAATCTTCACCATGTCACTCTAATAACACAGTTTGAACAAAAGCTTTGTTTAAAATATAGCTTTAGCACTCGGATTATCAGGGGATGTAAAATTTTTTACCGCCTTGGAATTTTGCTGGTCCAGATCAGCATTGCTGCCACTGCAAAGTTATATAGTTATATATCTACTGAACATTATCCTGTAACTCAAGGTGATTTTCTGAACTCAGAGGACATAAAACACAGAATTCACACTTCAGGATGCAAACTCACGCTTAGCCTTAACCACAGCAGCTCTCTGCTATAAGTCAGAACTAAAATCAGTTTGTCTCACAGCATATAACCTGGTCTATGTCAAAAAAAAAGATAATGAAATGACAAAGAACCTAACCTTACTTTCACTGAAGTAAGTAGCAAAACTCTCACTGACTTCAGTAAGTGTAAAGCTAGCAGTGGTTCTCCAGAAATTATTATTATTCTCTCCAGAGAACCGTATGCATTTCCTATCAGCCCCTGCAGAAGGATGACGGTCTCTCAGCCTTCCAATAATACTGGCTCACAAAGAAGCATTTCAGACTGCCAGCACTAATCTAAAATCTATGACCACCTGAGGAATACACTGACTTCAGCATATAAACTGAAGAAGATAAAAAGAATCAAGCCTTATGGAAGAAGAAAGAAGCATACCAGCAGTAATGACTCACTGATAACCTTGTAACTACCAACAGCCACTGCCATATTTTACAGAGATTTTGTATGAGCATCTATTCATAATAGACGATTATAGTATAATAAAGACAGCTGCACTAGGGGAGGTTTAGGTTGGATATTAGGAAAAATTTCTTCACCAAGAGGGTGATAAAGCATTAGAACAGGCTGGCCAGGAAAGGGGTGGAATCGCCATCCCTGGGAGTGTTCAAAAATTGTGTAGGTGAGGCCCCCATTGATAAGGTTTAGTGGTGGGTTTGCAGCCCTGGGGTAATGGGTAGACTTGATGATCTTCACAGTCTTTTCCAACCTAGTTGATTCTATGATTCTATAATCCCTCTCTGCACAATAAACATGTAAGATTCACAGAATATTTGCCTTTATGCATACAAGCAATAAAATATTTAGTAGGAAATTGCTATTAGCAATGACATGAAAAGAAGAACTTCAATCAAATGGAAAACTGTATGTTGAAAGTGATGCAGAACTACATTTGGATCCTCTCTAGGTTAAAGAAAAGGGGGGGGGGAGAAAAAACAATGTGGCTTTTTCAGAACTGCAAGAGAAATGAATGTCACCAGTATCTGAACAGAAAAAAAAATATATAAAAAGTAGTTATGTAGTTAACAGTCTTTCCATGAGAATTAACAAATGTAACAAGACAGAACCTGTGCTTTTCAAGTACCTTTCCTCTTAAAATCTTTTAGAAGCAGTCAAGGCAAGCATTAAGTATTCAATTCATAGACATAGCATGAAGAAAAAGCTAGCAACCATCTTTATATGCTCAGGCATAATATGCAGTCTGAGACCTATGCCACACCAAATCAAGTAAGTATCTACTAATCATGCCTTCCTCTTACGTGCCAGCCACTTGCCAGAACAAGCTTCACACAGAAAGCAATAGCCTCTGACTCTACTGTACAGGTGGGGTTTCAGTTAAAGTTGCCTTGCCAGCTAAAGAGTGGCTTGATCTCAGTAGTTACAGGTGCTAATTACTGGTCTGGTGATGAAGGCATTCTTCAGGAAGACACACATGGGACATGAATCTGGGCTTCCCAATTCAATAGTTGTTTGCATAGAAACCAACAGACCACAAAAGTATTACCACTTGTAATGGGAAGCTCTATTCAGATTGCCTGTCATTCCCTTCCCAGTGTAAGCATGTTCAAAATTCTCCAATGAAACTGTATAGAAATGCAACAGATTACCTGTTCTACATGCAGCAATTTATACCATCTTTGGATCTCCACTTGGAAATCAGCAAAAGGCAAGAGTTCTAAATATATACATATATATCCTCCTTTGGAAAGAGAAAACATTAATACTTTAGTTACCGTTCAGCTAATTACCCATGCTACTGACAGTGTTCATGAGAGTAAGATTCTGCAGCAATATTGCACTTATCCATTTCCTATTTTTCTTTATCAAAAAGAGATCATCACAGCACCTTGTTGAAACACCCTTTTGCAGAGGTGTGCTTTGTCCTGACCCATTGTGTTTTACATGTGTCCTAGCTTACATAATTGCAGTAGAGGTGCCCCTCGTTTTCTTTGTTGAACAGGATTGAAAAGATAAAGCAGTTGTCTTTCCTTGAGCATCTGCTTCACAGAACATCACTGGCAGAAAGACAACTTAATTCCATACCATCTTCATAGAAGTGAATTACTGAATAAACCAAGGTTTTCCTCCAAAGATGAAATACGGGTATCAAGTGAATTTACAAGCAACTTGCAAGTACTGTACCGCCCTCTGCAGTCAATGTCTTAAGTTCTGCAAATGCATCTGCAAGAAAGACACGTGCATTCCTTGCAAAGCTCAGTAGAACAATAAAAACATTAGCAGTTGAAAGCCAACAGAAGTAACATTTGTATGATATTGATTTACTTGTTAGAAACATAGTAACAGAATACATTACCTTTTTAATTCTTCATATAAATGTTCTATGTAGTAAAGGATGGGGAAATGTATGTTCTGCTGCTGTTTCAGAATGGATCAGATTCCCCAGTGATAATTCTGGCACTTACTCTTGGAACTTCACAGAAGTTTGCAGTGCCCCATATAAGAATGTTTTCTGGTTACTTCTAGTAAATACCCCAAATAAACTGCTTTTGTTAAGTTACATTAACTGATTTATCAATGACAAAGAAGTATATTTTACGGCTGAGCAGCATCTTTTCTCCTTTCTTAGAAACCTTATCCCAAAGGCACTACCACTGTCAGCTATGGGCTCAGCCTCAGCAAGTGGCAAGTCCATCTTGGATCCAGCTGGCATTGGCTCTATCAGACCCAGGGGAAGCTTCTAGCACCTTCTCACAGAAACTACCCCTGTAGGTCCCCCACTACCCAAACCTTCCAACGCAAAACTTCTTCACACAGAACTTTTAAGACAGCATTATTTTCCCTGTTAAACTGACAGAGAACATTCTACAGTTACCCTTGGGCCACCTGTAGGTATCTGCTAAAATGCAACTCCTTAAAATGCCTTTTTGTTTGCTCGTTTTAAAGCTCACTTGCTCTATACATTTGTTTCATAACCTCCTTGTTGAATATGAGATATGTGTTTACTCAAACAGTAAAAGTTCTTCACTGACTTAATTAAAAGCAATTAGGAGAGCAAGTTTTACACATATTTTAAGTTCTCTGGATACTAACACAGCTTCAAATACCTGTTCAAGTATCATAACACCTGATAAGACTACAAAAGCATACAACACTGTACTGTATGTCTATAAAACAAATCTGTAAGAAAATTAATAGAAATTAGCAGGTTCTTCCTCTGTAATATGCGAGTTGTCCTTCACGTTTTAGTGTATGAATACTGTTGCAACAGAAGGTACTCAAATCAAGGCCTAACACTGATAACATCATATGACAAAACTATTCCTTCAGAAGACCTTCATTCACATCTGCTTTTTTAACTTGGATCTG